AACCCGTCCAGAAGACCTATACAATTTTTTTCTTTTTGATTTTTACCTGGATTACTGAGATGCATCAGGACATTTCTGTATTTATTTCAGATTTAGTCAGTCGTACACTTAGTTCTTATCAGTGTTTAAAAGAGGACGTGTTAAAACTCTGTTTAGTCAAAGTTAAACATGAAAAGTCAAAGTTCATTACAACTGGCCCTCCAGGGCCACCATAACGCTCATTTGGCCCTTGGTGAAAATGAGTTTAACACCCCTGATTCATTTTAAATGGTTGTCCCATTTGAAGTGCGTTGTAGCCAAAGACGAGCAGATTCGGGGAAAAACCAACCCATTCTCACTCCCGACTCGTCAACATATTGACGCTTGGTCAGGTACCATCTGCGTCCAGTTTTGGACGCATTGGGTACTCCCCTCACATCAGTTCTTAACGAGATAAGATGGAGGAGGAGTGCGTTGTTATTTTTCAAAAGAGTAAGAAATGCACACCGTCCCAGACCCTAAATTTAACTTCCATTAACCCTATACAGCCCATCCCTGACCTCGGTACCTAAAATTAACCATTAATCCTGATCCCTCATATTAACCACAGACCCCCAACACAAGACCCCATGTGGAGCAACCTGGAAAAGCCACGAGGGGGGTTACCCGACACGTCAAAACTGGACGCAGACGTTACCTGACCAAGCGTCAATATGTTGACGAGTCAGGAGTGAGAACATGTTGGAAAAAACACCTAATTTGACCCTCTGGTCTCACCCCCGCCCCAACGAACAACGCAAACCCCCCCAAACTTCTTTCTGACTGAGACCTCAAATTATTTGACAGGTGCCAAAAAAATCGACAAAAAGAAAAAAGAGGCAATAATTGAATGAAATTCAACAGTGATGGAGAGAATGCAAATGAAAAATTTGATTTGAGAGATTTATGATATTTAGAGTGTTTGGATTTTGTAGTTAGAGTGTAGTTTAGTCAGTTTTAGTGTCAAAACTGGGGACTTTTGGGCTTGAAGCTACAGCTGATTGACATAGAGGTGGAGCTGAGGGGTGCACCGATCGGCACCATGTTCCTTCATTTTGGGAGACTGGAGATTGTCTGATACTTCAAGATAAAACAAGTTTTATTGTTTCAAGGGTAACATTTTTAAATAAAATAAGATTGGAACGTTGAAGGTTTATTGTGCTCTTATAACAACTGACAGTATTAGTTGCTTTAAAAATCAGAATGAGCAGGTCAGAGTTTAAGAAAAAAAGGAAACTGCAATCGATGCACCCATAGTGGAGCTGAGGACAGAGATGGACCAATCAGAACCATTTCAGACAGAATTAAGGAGCTCAAAGGCAGAGATGGAGGACAACTCGAGGAATTTGGCCAAGCGTTATTTGGATTAGAAGAGGAAAGAGAAGAGGAGACCATCCTGGTCCTGTACGCCAGTCCACCCGGAGGTATTAATCATTTTTATCGCCAAGAGTCAAAAAATAACCGGCAAATGTTTTTCTGATGATTAACTGCACACGATAAGATTTTGCCCAACCCTACTTTAGAGTGAGTGCTGCTAAGGGTTCAGAAAAATGCCGATGCACGCTTTTAAAACAAGTTCAACACAAACCAGAAGTAAAAGCTGTAAAATAACAACTTCACACAAGAAAATAACCCAAATGTGCATCATTTGCTCCAAACAACTCAAAGAAATTCTCAATCATCCTATCTGTCAGGTGAAAACTCAAATGGTAAAAAAAGGAAACAGAAGCTCCTACAGTACTGACAATGCACTTCCTGTTCATTTGCTGTAGTCTGTGGGCTCGCCCACGTCCTCCTTCAGCACACATGTGCGCACCAGCGCCTCGGTCACGATGTACGGGTCGCAGTTGGCGGACGGGCGGCGGTCCTCAAAGTAGCCCTTCTTCTCCTGGCCCACCAAGCGCGGGATGCGGATGCTGGCCCCGCGGTTGGCCACGCCGGCGGAGAACTCGTCGATGCTTGAGGTTTCGTGACAACCGGTGAGGCGCCTGGCATTGTCCAGCCCGCCTTTAGGGTCGTAGGCCCGGATGTGATACATGTGCCTCTTGGCCAGCCTCTCGATGGACTCCTCGATGACTCTACAAAGGAAGAGAACATTCCTGAATGATCCCTGCGCCGTTTTATTTTGTTTTGTTAGTGAACTGAAGCTCGATCCTTACTTCAACCCTCCGTCTTCACGCATTTCTTTTGTGCTGAAGTTGGTGTGGCAGCCGGCACCGTTCCAGTTCCCCGAGATGGGCTTGGGGTCAAACGACACGACCACGCCGAAATCCTCACATACCCGGTGCAGAATGAAGCGAGCGATCCATAGATGGTCCCCCATGTTGATGCCTTCGCAGGGTCCCACCTGGAACTCCCACTGGAACACAGAGTTAACATGAAACTGCTGACTCAGCACTTCATTCAGAGTTTCATTACCATGTAGCGTTGTTTGTAGCGTGGTGGTATACGTACCTGTGCTGGCATGACCTCAGCATTCGTTCCACAGATCTGGACCCCAGCGTACATGCAGGCCCTGTAGTGTGACTCCACCACGTCTCGTCCGTACGCCTTATCTGCTCCCACGCCGCAGTAATAAGGTCCTGATGAGAGGAACACAAACAGACGTTAACTCTGAGGTGGCTTCGTTACACAACAAACATTCAACACTCGCCTTGTGGACCTGGGAACCCGTTGGAGGGCCAGCCGAAGGGATGTCCATCTGTGCCCAGGATGGTGTACTCCTGCTCCATCCCAAACCACGGGTGGTGGTTCTCCACCATCCTCATGATCTGCTTACAGCTGTATCTCAGGTTCGTCTCTGTTGGCCCACACCGAGTGTTAGCTGAAACCTAAGACGGCTCCTCCCTGGTTTGCTTTTGTTGTTTGATTTTTTTTTTCCTCACCTGAAGGTTTACGGTTGTACTTCAGCACCTCGCAGAGCACCAGTTTGTTGGGGTCCCTTCTGAAGGGGTCCCTGAACATGGCTGCAGGGATCAGGAACATGTCGCTGTTGGAGCCCTCGGACTGGTACGTGCTGGAGCCGTCGAAGTTCCACTCTGGGAGGTCTGACACAGAGAAGATGAAGTGATGAAGTCATGTGACGCCTTGAAAAAATACTGAAATACATCTCAAACCTTTCCGTATTCTGACCAAAACCTTCCAGGCATTTTATTAGTACTTATGTGATAGATCACAAGTTGTGCATAACTGTGAAGGAGAAGGGAACTGATGAACAGCTTTTGAACGTTTTTACCAATGAAGATCTGAAGTAAGCCACGCTTGTTTCTTTAGCTGTCTTACCTCTGATTCTGCTTTACCCAAACTAAAAAACAAGATCACTCTACTGCTTTTAAAAGCCACCTGACAGTGTGAACACAGACTCACCATACTCATTTATTGTTCTTATGTTCTTCTGTTCTTTTTTATTTTTTATTTTTTTTTGCATCTAACTTCTTCAGCACACTTTCAGCTATTTTTGCCAACCAGCTATCAAAATGTTCGGCTCATTTAGGAGATACAATATGTATTATGACTTTTGATAATTGTAGCTTTTGCACTTTCAGAGTACTTTTATTTTGTTTTATTAAAATTAATAACGATACTCGGCTTTAGCTGCTTTAAAGTTAAAGTTGCTGTTTTGCTAACTTTAGCTATTCTAGGTTTCAGCTAATATCAGATCATTTTAATTTTAGCTTTCGTTTGATAAATGTAGCTTTTAGCAACATTTCCTTAAATTTTAGCTTTTGGTTACATTTTTGCTAATTTTAGCTTTTGGATGTTGTTGTGCTGCTAAGCTTAGATTTTCATTGCTGTTGGCTAGATTTAGGTTATAAATATGATTTTGCTCTCTTGAGTTTTTAGCCACATTTTGTTTTAGCTTTTAGCTACTGTTCTGCTTGTTTTAACTTTAACAGTTCAGTTTCATCTTCTTTAGCTGTCATTTATCACAAACAGTATTTTCACACAAAAAATCTGGCTCAGTTACAAACTTAATCATTTTAGGTTTTAGCTTTTTTTATAGAAATGTGGCTTTTAGCCACATTTGAGCTAATTTTAGCTTTTGGTTACCGTTTTGCTAATTTTAGCTTTTGGCTATTATTGTGCTGCAAAGTATACACTCACCGGCCACTTTATTAGGTACACCACGCTAGTAACGGGTTGGACCCCCTTTTGCCTTCAGAACTGCCTCAATTCTTCGTGGCA